ATTTTCAGTTGACCTGGACTCTTAAGCTAAGGAAATAACTAATCTTTGGGGGCCATTTTCTCACTAATTTTACCTCTGAAAACAGGTGACCCCCACCTCCTTCATTTGCAAATATCTCGACTTGTATTGTAGATAAAAGTATATATTTTTTCATCCAAATAAAGACAAGTGAACAAGCTTTAAGATGATACCAATAACTGTACATGCCCAAAAATTGACGAGAGCCTGATTCCACCACGCTCCCTCACATATTATACTAATTTATACTATGAAAGAAAGCGGCCGGTTGGCCTATTGGCCTTCATTATATTATATCGAATGTGTGCGTTGTTTGAAATTTATGTAAATGACAGTTTAACGTGGTACCGGTGTCTGTGGAGTGCTGTCTGACGCAGGAAACCCGAGTTCGATTTCCGAGAGCAGAGAAAATTGGTATCGAGTATCTTGTATTGATACTGCTTGAAGCAAATTGCAGACGGCAGCTTATGACGAATACGAAAGCAACAGGCAAAGTTAATTGGACGGACAATGCGGAAAGAAGCATTTGAGAATATTGTAACAACAGGCAAGTTTGATGGAAACAGATAGGTAGAGGCAGACTGAGGGAATAGATACTGGACAAGTTGATAACATGGCTGGGAACAGCAAGAACGATAGACACCATTGCTGCAACGCAACAACAAAAAATCAACAACAACCAAAGTGAAGTGGAGGTCCATGATCGTCCACATCAGTCGGCAAGGTACCGGATGATGATGATGATCTTATTTGGTCTTTCTGCTGGGATGTTATAACTTCTCAGCCCGGATTGGCCTTGCATGACAGGCAGGTTTAGGTGCCTGCCTCCTAAATGATCTAATTTGTATCGATGGGGGCGTAAAACTAACACCTTCACAGAGTGATATGTTCCAGCCGTGGCCTAGTCTATACAATAACAACATAGAGTAGGTAATGGATCCATCCTCACCCGGAAAAACTGACAACATTTTAAAAAAGGCTCCATTTTCAGATCGACCAAATGCAGTGCAGTGGAGTCCACCTATAACGAGTCCTGAAACAACGAAAAGTCTGTTATAAAGACACTATTCTAAAACCCCGTTTTTTTCCCTTCTTTAGCTTTGTAAATAAAATACTGCTATTGCCCAATTAGACAGTCACGCGAGTCGGTTATAGCGGAATATCGCTGCTGCTGTGCACAGCACACAGACCAATTAAACATAGATCTATAAAACCTCGCCAGTTGAGAAAGTTGTTGGTGATCGAGCGAAACAAAAAACGGCAGAGCCCACGCAAACCAACAATGAAGGCCGGAGCGAAAGAGTGGGGAGGGTGTGGCATGCGTAGACAAGCAGAACGCATCGCGTGATAGGCCAGCCCAGTCTAGATGATCTAGGCATACCATGCCTCTCACTTCTCTGGTGCGGGATGGAGAGGTCACAATGCTGTGATAGATGGAGTGAATGTGTGACGTGCGCAAGCAGACGCAACGCACCACAGGGTGTGGTAGGGTGGGGAACAACACAGCGGGCGAGTTAGCCTAGAGCCAGAGCCCATTCTTTCTGATCGCCAAAGCCGATTTGTCAACATTGCTAGGGCTAGAGAAAGAAACCTGATTCGATTTTTGATCAAGTAAGACCTAGAGATCATGTTGAACAAAATCATCATCAGGGGAAATACAAAAAGGACTAAACAAAACACCAAACTCATAGATTAGGCCTACTTTACTATTTCCCTTGAATTTATTACTAGATCCCTAATAACGAGAATCCTGCTATAACGGACATTTCGTACCGGTCCCCTCCCTATCGTTATAACAGGATTCCAATGTGGTAGAATTTGACGTTGTCTCCACCCCCC